GAGAGAGAGAGAGAGAGAGAGAGAGAGAGAGAGAGAGAGAGAGAGAGAGAAGAGGTCCCCAGCCAAAGGCCCCAGTGAGATAAGGGCCTGAGGAAAGGGACTGGCAGTGGGTCCTGGAAAAGAAGAGAGTGTGAGCATCCTAGCTAAGCGGGGAGGCGACCCCCTCAAAGGGTTTCTTCAGAGTTACTTCTTTGCTCAGACACCGCCAAAGGCGATGTGAAACATTCAAGTCTGGGAAGACAATATGTATACGTACATGCATATGTCTTTTTTCTTTTGTGGTTACTGGGGAAATCAAACCCAGGGCCTCACATACATGAAGCAAATGTTTCACCAGTGAGTCATATCCTCAGCTATATAGTGAGACCTTGTGTCCAAAGAAGAAAGTGATTGGACCTTCAGGCTCTGACCCCACCAGTGGACCAATGCCCTGCTGGATTTATAATATGATGACGTTATTGGGAGATGGGACTAGCTGGAGGAAAAAGGTCCCTGAGGTCACACCCTGGAAAGATAATGCCATTTACCCGACCCCTTCATGCCTCTCTCTTCCTGTCTCCTGTCCACACCAAGGTAGACGTCAATATTCCTCAGCGGCGCCATTCTGCCACGCCGGTCACAAGCACCCACAAACAAAAGGCTGCCTGTGGGTGGGATCTCCGACACCACACGCCAGAATGAATCCCGTCTACTATGAGATGGTTTCTCTCCGGTGTGTGTCCTGGTGATTGACGTTCACAGCTGCTGACTGCTAGTGTTAGCATGGCGAAGGCTGTCGCTGGAGGGAGAGGAGGTCTTTAGATATTTCTGAAGCTGTGCAGGAATCCTAAGGTTCACCCGCACTGACATCCAACCGGTCTGACTTGGGCCATTTCTTACCTGGACCTCTGAGGGGTGTGTGGATCTGGGGAGGGATAGACATTTTGAGTCAGGCATAGCTACCTTGTTATTGACCATATATGAGAGAAACATAAGGGGCTAATCTTCCACAATTATTACTATGAAAGCAATAAATTACTGTGGAAGATGGATATATTAGTAAATTATGAAGACGGAAGTAAAAGAACCTGTTATCAAGGACCTAGAGACGACTTCTAATGCCAGTTTCATTTTTATCCTGACAGATTTTTACAACCAGTGTATTCTAACCTTGTAAACGGCCTATTGTGGAATTTTTATGAGTTTTCCATTAATGATTTTCAGTTGTTATAGTATAAAATTATACGACAGCAAAGACCTCATCATGAGAAGTAAGCACACCCTACCTCGTTCGAGTTTCGAGACGAACTCTAAGCATTTTTATTTTGAATACATCTGGCTGTTGATGCCACATTTCCAAGTAAGATGCTATTTGTTAGTCTTGGGCTCCCTTGCTGTCCACTGTCTTCCTACTGTATAGGGAAGTCAGTTCACCCCTGTCCCACTGGGTTACAAGAGCGAGGCAAACCGCGTGACCCACTCGTGGCCTACCTTCAGAGGTCATTTAGCGCCGTTCCCACCATCATATCGTTGCTTCGGGAAATTAAAAAGTCCCACTCAAGTTGAAGGGGAGGACAAGTGGCCCCCATCATTTGATCGGGGGCATCTCACGCCTCTACCCTGAGTAGCACATGGGGTGGGAGGTGCTGTTACAATCATCCTTGGGAGTGCTGCTTTTCACTCGACCTATTTTGTATTATGTTTACAGATTTTTCATATATATTTTTTCACAAATCAATAATTGTTGATTCTGTCTTATTTTTATAACTCTGCAACATAGCTGCGGTTCTTTCTACATATCCGGAGGAGGCTCCTATCCCTGCCTGCTTTAGCTGACACATTATTTGAAGAGGGTGGACTTGGAACTTCTCGTCACAATCAGAAGACTGATACATGGAAAGAGGCTCTCGTCATGTCGGCTACAGACTGGTGATGAGTTGTGGGGTGCTGGTCCCTGCTAAAAGGCTTCTCTGTTTGCCAGGGTTCCCACCAATATCTTTTACCACTTCCTTCACCGTATTCTACAGCTCACAAGAATCTGACTTTGAGGCTTTCTGATTTACCATGGAAAAGAGCAATGGTGATATTTTGCATTCTCTGTCTCTGTCTCTGTCTCTGTCTTTCTTCTTTTCCTTCCTTCCTTCCTTCCTTCCTTCCTTCCTTCCTTCCTTCCTTCCTTCCTTCCT